GGGACAAACGTAGAAGCTAGGAGCCGGCTGCCTGGGTCTGGTACAAGGACCGGGGCCCCAGGGCTGGTCAGAGTTAACGCTCGGGAGCCCATCGTCGCCCAAAGGGGCATCAGAGACCTTCCTCTGTTCTTGGGTGCGAGCGTTGAGAGGAGGGCCAGGGGAAGTGTCTTTTTGAGCAAACAAAGACAAAGAAAGGGACCATAGGACATCTCCCTTCTGTCGCTCACTTCAACTTGTGTGGTTCCAGGGGAAGAGCTTGTCGGCTCCAGAGCGGAGAAGCAAGATTCCCGGGATGCAGATGGAGAGAAAGAGCTGCTGGAGTTTGTGCCTAAGCTTGACCAAGTGTAAGAAGCGCTCACGTGGTGGCGGGCCAGGGCTTACCCCGAGGCCTCAAGGTCTCCAGAGCCAAAACAGGTAGCGGGAAGGTCAGGTCTTGGGTGTGGCCTTGACAAAGGATGCTGGGTCAATTGGACCTTGGGTCCAGATTTGCATCAGAAGAGGCTGGCTCTGTGCCTGGAGTCAGAGAGGGGACTCTGAGAGTTTCGCCCCACTACCCCCGCCTCCACCCCCTCCCCAGTGACCCGCTGTCTCCCTCTCTCATCATCACACACTCTCAGGTTCTCGCCAGCAAGCTTCACACTGGACCAGTTAAGATCGAACACTGGCCACAGGCTTTGAACCCCGCGAGATAAAACCCACCAAGGATGTGGGTCTGCCGGGAACCCCTTTCTCTCTTCTCCGTGTGCCTGTTGGGACTTCCTCCACTGGAGGTCCTTTTGCCCGCAAGGATATTTAATGACTACATCTGAATTCTTCGACAGGGTACAGCAGAAGCATGCCAACTCAGTCCCGTGGCTTATACGAAACAATTCTGGTCACAGGAGCAGGAAATGGAACTAGAAGCAGAGTTGATCAGTTAGTATTTTCTGAACACCCGTTGGAAAGAAACGCAAGACTTGTGTTTCTGATTACAAGGAATTTCCAGATCCGTATGGTGGGAGCAACACACACACACACACATACACACACACAGAGTAGTCATTAACGGTGTAGGATGGGCAGCATGCAGAAGAGACGTCATCGTGTTGCATGCACTAGGGCAGGGGCTCAGAATGACATTCAGACAGATTGACGTGGGGATACCCAGGTGTTTCGCTTAGGCCTTCCATGAAAGACAAGGGACGCTTAGAAGGGCCACCCCTTTGACTTCCCAACCTACTTGGCACACAGGGTGGAATCTCCAGCCATTCCCAGGATTCCTTGTGTCACACCTGAGACTGTGGTGATCAGATCTGAAGAGCCAGAACAGGTAAGAAGCCATGTTTCCCTTCTGATCCTTTCTGCAGAGCATGAGGGCGCCGGGACCGTGGTGGAGGGAGAAGATGCCTAGTACAGTGATAGGAATTGACCATCAAAAGGCATGCAGTACTTGCACAGTCCCTTCAGACCCATCATTCTGTGTTCTCTGTCCCCTACCCCCAGTGCTGATGAGAACCAGCGTGACTATTATGATCCCAGACGTGGATGATATGAGTGTCAGGGCCTAAGGGGTATGTGAGAGATCATTCACGTAGTCCACTGAAACTGAGAACAGGCATCAGACGTTCCTGCTCTGAAGCCCAGGCTCTTGTAACCATAACCCCTGAGCCCCTGCTTTCGGCTCGTATGGGGACGGTGGGTCACAGTGCTGGGCAGAAAGCCCTACCTGAGGGAGGTGTAGGGAAGCCAGAGACAGGCTTCCCTGTGGGAAGGGAGGGAGCCTGTGGAGCTCTGCATAAGCCAGGGGCCTTCTGTGGTTTTCTGTCATATCTGCACAAAGGCAGCCGTGTCTGCCTCACCTCACTCAAGGCATCCGTAGGAACTTACAGGCCAATACAGATGTGAGAGTGATGTCAGAGAGCTGCTGCTAAGGTGGGGTTTTAGGGACTCTAGTGCCCTATATTGTGGCTGCCCAGGATGCCTCTGGAATGATACACACACATACACATGAAGGCCTTAGAACAATTGAATCCCCTTTAGTTTCATGGTAGACCATTTGGCAGGATTTTTCTAGGGTAAGGGAATTTTTTAGGGGAGAAAGAAACAGCACAATGGTATCATCCCCCAAACATGAACCACCACTGCTCTGAAGCTGAGAGCTAAACCCGAAACCAAACTCACTGCCAACGGTCAGTTCTGCCTCAGAGCACCCGGCGGGGCAGAGGAGGCCTCTAGCAGGGCAGAGAGCCTCATCTCTCTCCGCGCGAGCTGGCCCAAGGCCGGTGTGTTTCCTTTTGAAGGCTGATTTCTCCCTTGTCATCCAAGAGGTATATATCTGGAGGCAGCAGCCTAGCCCTGGGCCCATAAATGGCACCTGGGGAGAGGCCAGCTTTGGAACGGACCAGCTCTGCCATGTGAAAATATAGCCTCAGGGTCAAGGTCAGGGTCATCAGATGGCATTTGGGCAGAGTTACTGCTGGGGCTTATTTTCTGGGTGCTGAGCCCATGAGATAGAGGCGAGGAACCCAACCAGGTGGATCTGTATCGTGTCTCTCGACCCAGTCTTCGACCCTCACTAGCCCAAGGAACATGACCTAGTCTGTAGCCTTTATGGGCCTAGATTCTACCAGAAACAGAGGATGGCTATTGGATTTAACACCTGGTACCGAGTACCTAGGAACGTAGGCTCTAACTGGGAAGAGTGGACTCAGGTTCATGAGACCAGTTAGGAAGGAACACAGGGCGGGGACGAATGAAGAGCGAAACTGTGTGGTGTGAGCCTTTTAAGAGTTCAAAAGGGAAGAAAAGGTTCTGCAACGGATTGTGATCATGATTGTACGACTCTTCTTGAGGGGACTGAATGATATGTGAATTATATGCCAATAAAGGTGTTGGGGGTTCAGGAGGGAGAGCTCAGAGAAGGTTGTGGCGAGCCCATAGGCTGGACAGACGTGGAAAGGAATGGGGCTGGACTAACTCAGGAGCCTCACACTCAGCACATTCTGGAAAGCATGAGGGCAGGCAGAGTTGAGAATAAACCTGGAAGGGACCGGGCGGGGCCCAACTGAGGCCCTGCTGGCTTTCCTGATTCCCTGTGAGGCCTAAGGCCCCGGGAGAGGCGAGTCTGTGCCCTCGGACTTGCAGGGTTCCCATGAGCTAGGAAACACCTCGTTTCGCAGATGAGAAAATGTGAACGATCCTTGAGCACCAGGGTCTCGTGTTCTCCATCTCCCAGGTGTCCCATGTCTACAGCATGAGGAGCCGCCCAATCCCGGCAGCCGGCATGTGTCAGAGTAGAACCGTGCTCCTTAGACGTCCCCATGGCTGACATCTCAGAATCAGATTGCTAGACTTTTCTCCCCAGGGACCTCGGTGTGGACTTGAATGACCGCCCTTTTGGTTATCAGCCGTGTGTACCGACTGCTGGCACTGCTCAGGGTCTGCATAGACCGCGTCCTCGGCGCTAAATCACTCCTAGGGGGTGGTACCGGGTGTCACACCCAGGTGTGCTAATGCCAGCTCTCAGGAGAAAACGGATCTGTCTAGAGCGGAGGTTTCTTAGGGAGGCCTGGCTGGAGAAAGGGGTGGCTGAGTCAGCAAGCGCGTTCATTGGGCACAGGGCCCCGAATCCAAGTTACCGAGTAGGGGCTCACCCGTTGATTGCTAAGATCATCCAAAGCTCACTTGCTCACTAGATTTTGAGCCCAGGAGAGGGGGTGAAGGTAGAAGAGAGCCCGGTTCCCTGCAGGCTCCCAGGATGCCCTGTCGTGGAAGCTTTAGTGGATTTGTGAGAGGGAGTCCTTTCTCCAGTGGACCAGCGAGGTGCTCTGAGCCTCCTCAGCCCTGGCACAATCCCCAGCCGGCCTGAGACCAGCCCAGGGTACGAAAGGACTAAAGGGTCTTTCCTCTCCTCCTCAGGCATCTAAAGAGTACGACGAAGACTCTCTCATCCCCAGCAGCCCGGCCACAGAGACCTCAGACAACATCAGCCCCGTGGCCAGCCCGGTCCACACAGGGTGAGTTGCCGCCCAGCGGGTGCAAGGGGTGCCTCAGGCTCTGCGCCACCAGCTTCCCCTGTCTCCGAGGGGCTGTGGAGAAGCCCACCGTGGGTCGGTCTGCCTGTGCCCCTAGGTTTCTGGTGAGCTTCATGGTGGATGCCCGGGGAGGTTCCATGAGAGGAAGTCGCCACAACGGCCTACGGGTTGTGATCCCGCCTCGGACCTGCGCGGCCCCCACGCGCATCACCTGCCGCCTGGTCAAGCCCCAGAAGCTGAGCACGCCGCCCCCGCTGGCCGAGGAGGAGGGCCTGGCCAGCAGGATCATTGCCTTGGGGCCCACGGGGGTGCAGTTCTTGAGGTGAGAGCTGGCCTTTGCTGGGTGCATCTGTGTCTGACTGCTCCTGACCTGCCCCTGCAGCAGTGCCCCAAACTGCCCTGCAGCAGGGCACGGGGAGAGGCCAGGAGGCCCTGGACCCCCACGGGGGCTCCTTCCTCTGCTGCCCCGGACAGGGACACAGACTGAAGCTTTAGGCCTCTGCTGCTGCCACCTTTCCCTAGAGGCGGCGGGGTGCAGGTCCTGGCGGAGCATCCTGCCCCTCAGTCTTGCTGTGCCTCTCCAGTTAGCTCGGGCGCCTGCCTCCCAGGAGGCCCACTGTTTCCGCATTAAAGTCATCTGACTAGATGGCCGCCCCTGCAGTGGCGCCCCCAAAGCAAGATTGATGGGCTCCCAGGCCACTGCTCCCCACCTTCTCTGCAGCCAACCAGGCCTGTCCTCAGAGCTCTTTCACCCTTTCAACACAGCTGGTGTAGTATTCTAGACAGGAACTCCACGGGGGCCCTCCCTCCCCACCTCCCTGGCCCTCCTGTCCCACCACTATTAACGGCACCCTTTGTAAAGCAGCTGCAATGGGCTCCCCCCTTGTATTTCCTGAAAGCCGTCGAATTTACAAGCTGTACCATTCGAGGGTTTGAACCAGGAAAAGGGGCTGTGGCTCACCTTTCAACGGGCCTCCCAAGGCCTCCCTCCTAAGTAAATGCTGGTGCCCCCCGGTGATGGGTGAGGATGCTGCGCTCCAGCGCGTTAGCTCCCCTGTGTAAGGGTGTCAGACCGGTGCCCAGCATCAGGGCATCCTCCGTACTGAGTCTCAGAGGAAAGCTGTATGGCCGGGAGCAGACGGCCCTCCCCTGTGAAAGGAGGCTGAGACACCCCCACTCCCCCGCCCCTTCCATCCTGTCGCTAGGAAAGGCTGGGCAAGGTCCCAGGCATCTGAAGCACGGCATGCCACTTCAGGGACCAGCCGGTGGGTGGGGCCCCCACTGAGGCTGCAGGAGCCCTGCTACCACCCCCACTATTTGTCCTGGCTCTGCCCCCAGCCCGGTGATCGTGGAAATCCCCCACTTCGCCTCCCACGGCCGCGGGGACCGGGAGCTGGTGGTTCTGCGGAGTGAAAATGGCTCCGTGTGGAAGGAGCACAGGAGCCGCTACGGAGAAAGCTACCTGGATCAGATACTCAACGGGATGGACGAAGGTGAGGAGCCCGCGGCTTCCGGGCCAGGGTGCCCCTTCCTGTTCCTGGCAGCAGGGACTGGTGCTGGTACTTCTCCGGCCTGGGCTGTTGCAGGGGGTAGGGTTGGGGCTGCCTGGCCTTGCGGGGACTCTAGCTGGGAAGGACCCCTTTTGGCCGAGTTCCAGGTGTCAGGGACACCCCAGTGGGTGCTCAGCCCTCAGCTCCTTTACTGGCCTGGTCCTGGGCGGGCGGGCACGGGCTGAGGCCACTGGGTGGGGGGGACACACAGCATGACGGTGGGCCTGGCTGTGCTTGCAGAGCTGGGCAGCCTGGAGGAGCTGGAGAAGAAGAGAGTCTGCCGAATCATCACCACCGACTTCCCCTTGTACTTCGTGATCATGTCCCGCCTCTGTCAGGACTTCGACACCATCGGCCCCGAGGGCGGCTCCCTGAAGAGCACACTGGTCCCCCTGGTGCAGGCCACCTTCCCAGAGAACGCTGTCACCAAGAGAGTGAAGCTGGCCCTGCAGGTGACACGCGCTCCCTGGCCAGCTGGGTGTGCGTGGAGGGTGGGAGGGCTTCCAGCTGTCAGGGTGATTGCCGCTGGTTCCCAAGCCCCCTGCGTCCTGCCTCCACCCCCACCCCCTGACGCCCTTCTCAGTCCCCTGAGAGAGGAGGTCTCGAAAGCTGGACCCCAAAGGAAGCTGAGCGGGGCGGAGCTGAGGCGATTGCGTTGCAAAAAGGCCCAGGGAGCGCATGACCCGGTGGTGCCCGGCTGTGCCCTGCGGAGGGACTGTCAGATCCCGGCCTGGGAGCCCTCCTGGGTGGGCGTGGGCAGGGCCAGGCCAGGGGGAGAACGAGAACGAGAACGGGGAGCACGCTGGCCATGGTGTCAGGCGCTGTGATGAGCGCAGGAAGTAGCAGTGAGCGTCCGCGAGCTTGTGGGAAACGGAAGGAAAAGAGAATGGGACTTTCCACGGGCTCTTTTGACACCCCCCCCCCCCACACACACACACACACACACAATAGATACGGGAACCAGATCCGAGGGCGAGAACGCTGGCAGGGGAGAGACTCTGAGAAGAGCCTTTGCCCGTGGGCAGAGAGGGCCCGCTTTCCCCTGGGGGACGCAGGCCCGTCTCCTGTCCCATGAGTGCCCCTCCCGCTGTGGCGCTGAGTGCCTCCCTCTGCGTCCCCCAGGCCCAGCCCGTTCCTGATGAGCTAGTCACCAAACTCCTGGGCAACCAGGCCACCTTCAGCCCCATCGTCACTGTGGAGCCTCGACGGCGGAAGTTCCACCGCCCCATAGGCCTTCGGATTCCACTCCCGCCTTCCTGGACAGACAACCCTCGGGACAGCGGGGAGGGGGACACCACCAGCCTGCGCCTGCTGTGCAGTGTCATAGGTGAGCGGTCTGCCTTCCTCCACGCCCCGGCTTCTCTGTGGGACAGCCCCTTCCAGCAGGCCCCAGGAGGGGAAGCTGGCCATCTGCTCGGTCTCTAATGGGGTCATCCTGCCCTCTCACTCCCCTCCTGCACACACCAGTGATCTGCCTTCTCTTGGAAGATATGGAGGGATGAGGCTGTGGCCCAGGACCCTGAGGAGAAGGGGGTGCTGCCATCTGCTAGTGGGAAAAGGGGCACGTGGGAGAAGGCAGGGTGCTCAGAGCCATGGCTCAGAGGGGCCTCCGCCAGACGGGTCCGTCTCTGCCTCTGCGCATTCTGAGGACGAGCCTTTGACCCCACTCCTGCGCCTCTTGCAGGGGGAACGGATCAAGCCCAGTGGGAAGATATAACAGGCACAACCAAGCTGGTGTATGCCAACGAGTGCGCCAACTTCACCACCAACGTCTCTGCCAGGTGAGCTCTGCCTCAGCCCAGAATGGAGGCTCCCAGACCCCAGAGCTTGGGGGTGGATGCTGGTGGGTAGCTGTCCCTCATGCCCCAACCTGCCCACTCTGGGGTTCTTTCACTGCCTCCTGAGCCAGCAGGGGAATGAGGGGCCCACAGGGTGGACGGGAAGCTCCCCACCGGGCATCGAGGACCACACCGTATAACGAAACTGGTTGCTGTCTACCCATCCGTCGCTGTCCGTCGGAGTAGAACTGCACTCTGCTGCGTTTTCAAGGCCTGGTTTTTCAGAAGCAGATCGCCTCTGGGACTTGAACCTCCAACCTGGCGGTCAGCAGCCGAGTGTTCCGTTTGTTCTCCACCCAGCGTTTCCAGCTGAGAACGAGCCCTCTCTTTCTAGGTTTTGGCTGTCGGACTGTCCTCGGACGGCCGAGGCCGTGAACTTCGCCACCCTGCTGTACAAGGAGCTGACCGCGGTGCCCTACATGGCCAAGTTTGTCATCTTTGCCAAGATGAACGACCCCCGAGAAGGACGGCTGCGCTGCTACTGCATGACGGATGACAAAGTGGACAAGACCCTGGAGCAGCACGAGAACTTCATCGAGGTGGCCCGGAGCAGAGACATCGAGGTACCGCTCCCGGCCACCCTCGTTCCCGGGCACGTGGGGGCCCTCCTCTCTCCTCCCACCAGAACTGGGACAGGAGCACTCTGGTGTGCACTGGGACTCCAACCTCTGCGGAGGAGCGGGTTTCCAAATGCTGACTCTGGTTCCCCTCTGGACCCAGGTGGGGTAGAAAGAGGGAACCGATTACAAGGATCTACATAACCTCCTCCCTGGGGGATGGACAACAGAAAAGTGGGTGAAGGGAGACATCAGACAGTGTAAGACATGACAAAGTAATAATAATTTATAAATTATCAAGGGTTCATGAGGGAGGGGGAGCAGGGAGGGAGGGGAAAAATGAGCTGATACCAAGGGCTCAAGTAGAAAGCAAACGTTTAGAGAATGATGACGGCCACAAATGTACAAAGGTGCTTGGTGCACAATGGATGTGTGTATCAATTATGATAAGAGTTGTACAAGCCCCCAATAAAAAAAATTTTTTTTTAAAGAAACCTGGACCAAAGGGAGGGAAGGTAGATGTGTATAAGGAATCTATAAACGGTTCGGGGGAGAATTCCATGCTCTCGTCATTCTGGTTTTCCATGAACTTTTTGACGCTCCTTTGCATCTGCGCATGTGATCAGTGAGCTCTTAGGGACCCACACCAAAGTCCACTGCCACTGAGTCGATGCCCGCTCCTCCTGACCCTGTAGGACAGGGTGGCACCGCCTCTGTGAGTTTCTGAGACTGTCACTGTTGACAGGGGTAGAAACTCTGGTTTTTCTCTCAAGGAGCGGCGGGTGGTTTTGAATAGCAGGCCTTGCAGTTAGCAGTCCCCCAGGGAATCATCATGCCGCCGGGGCTCCTCCGTATAGGTGAAGTTAAACTATAGCATGGCCCTCCTAGCACTTCTCAGAAATTTAGAGATAAGAATAAAAACAGAGCCAGGTTTTCAGAAGCCAAGTTCTGCCACCCTTCTGGGTTTCTTAGGGTATCCCGATGCAGCCCAGCCCAACTTTCCCAGGGAAGATCTTACTTGTGAGAAAATCTTTGAAGCATGCTTCATTCATCATAACCCGGGAAAGAACGTTTCCAACACAGCAGGAGAATTTCTCAGAGCATGCCCTCTGAGCCCCAGCCGTAGAAAGGGTGTATCCTGGGTAGGAAAAGGCTGTCTACCTGGTAAATCTACCTGATTGTCATTGATCTTTCCTTTCGGACAGGTTCTGGAAGGAATGTCCCTATTTGCAGAGCTCTCTGGGAACCTGGTACCAGTCAAAAAAGCTGCCCAGCAACGGAGCTTCCACTTCCAGTCCTTCCGGGAGAACCGTTTGGCCATCCCTGTCAAGGTGCTGACCCTTGCCTGGGTTGGGAAAAGGTGGGAGGTGGAGCTCTCTAAACCTGGCGGCCTGCCCGATGGCTTCGTGACTCTTATGTGTGATTGCATGTAGGTGCGAGACAGCAGTCGAGAGCCAGGAGGATCCCTGTCGTTTCTACGTAAGGCGATGAAATATGAGGACACCCAGCACATTCTCTGCCACTTGAACATCACCATGCCCCCCTGCACGAAGGTACGCCCCCTGCATGGCCCACCCAGGAGGCCTCTCCGCCAGAGGCGGGGGCCCCCAAAGAAGGTCTCAAAACAGACCTCAACTGGAGCGCTTCCAACAGGCTTCTTTGCGGGTACAGAGAGGTGCTTTGCTCGCCTGTAGACATTTGTCTGTGGCTTAGTAGGGAAAACATAGCCAAACCCAAAACCAAATACTGCCATCCGGTCGGTTCTGGCTCATAGAAACATTCTAGAACAAGGTAGAACTGCCCCTGTGGGTTTCTGAGACTAACTCTTTACAGGTGGGCCCTGAGCTTTCTGGGATGGGAAGGCTAGAAGGAACCTTACATCCATCTTCTTGGGTGTCCCCTGTCTGGGGCCTCTGAGGCTCGGAAACAGATCCAGAAATTTGCACAAGATGGCCCGGCCAGTTGGTCGCCTTTCCCACAGTTCTTTTCCATCTACTGGCTCATCTTCCCCAGGGTGCGGGGTCCTCAAAGGGAGGGAACCTGGGTGTCCTCAGCCCTGTGTGTGGACAACCAGTATGTTGAGCTCAGCCAGAGACTCCTGATCAAGTATGTTCATCTACTGAAAACCTGCAAGGCTCTCAAGGACCCCTGGTGGCCTGGTGGATGAAGTACCAGGCTGCTCATTGCAAGGTCGGCAGTTCAAACCAACCACGGGAGAAAGGTGCTGTCGTCCTCAAAATGTACACCGAGAAATCTTAGGAGCGGTTCTCCTCTGACCTGAAGGGTTGCCTGGGGTCAAAGTGAACCCAAAGGCGGTGGTTTGGGGTAAGAACATCAAAGTTACCACCTTAAAAAAGTGGGACTTGGGAGGAATCTTGTCCCCACCGTGGTTGTCTGTTGCTGTTGCTCGTTGAGCACATGCTCCTACTCACATTCCCTGTTCTTTCGGAGAACCACACTGAGCCAGCTTCCGTTTCCACCCCTGCAACCTTGGGCAAGCCTCTGGGTACTTCTCCACACTGCCCGGGGCTAAGCCCGCTCACTGCCTGGGGCCAATATCAAAATTGGGTCTTTTGAGCAGAAAGTACTCCAAATCCCAGCTCCACTCCTTATCGGCTGGGTGACCCTGGGCAATTCCCTCTCAGTCCTCAGCTTTGTCACCCAAGAAATGAGACTCAGATGGATACAGACCCCACAAGTACTCCAAAGGAATCTTCGTGGCCTACCGGTTACCGTTGGTCTGCTGACTATAAGGTCCAAGGTTTGAAACCACCAGCGGCTCCACGGGAGAATGGAGTGGCAGTCTCAGAAACTCACAGGGCAGCTCTACCCTGTCCTACAGGGTCGCTATGAGTCGGCATCGACTCAATGGCCGTGAGCTTGATACGACACAGGAACACGGTAGATTTACTGCGGAAACTCGCCGTTGTTGTTGTTGTTGTTGTTGTTGTTGTTGTTGTTGTTGTTGATTAACTATGTGAGCTACATCAGCGTTCCTTGACTCCCCCTTCTCTCCACGCTGCTCCATGCCCAAGAAGCGGCCTCCTGTGTACCAAAGCCGGGGTCCTAACCCCAGCCGCCTGACTTCAGGGCTCAAACCCCCTTCTCGAAGGCCCCGTCCACCACAGCCTTTCTTTCCTGGTCCTGCAGGGGAGCGGAGCCGACGAGAGGAGGAGGACACTGACCCCCCTGGCCCTGAGATACAGCACCCTCAGCGAGTCAACACTGGGTACGAACCTCCTTCTCGGGACAAGCGTTCACTCTCTGTCCAGGAAGCTGTGGAAGGCAACCCCTACCCCGCCTCCTGGCCAGGGCTCTGGGCCCCTGGGTAACGCAAAGGGTCTGAGCTTGCCTGACCCAGAGGCTGGCAGTTGGACCCCGCTCAGCAGCAGCAAAGGAGAAAGGCCTGGCAACCTGCTTCCAGAAAGATGACAGGCACCCCGTTAGGACACAGCTCTGCGCCGTCGCACAGGGGTCACCATGAGCCAGAATGCATCTAGGTGGCCAGGGGCCGAGCAAGGGCTGTGTCGGGCGCTGTGGACCTTCTTAGCCCACGATAGGTGCAGCGTGTTCAGCCTTGGACTGGGGTCCCACCTGGCCCATCCAGGTTTAACCCTCAACCCAGGGTACTCTGGGGCCCATCAGGTGGCCTGGACACTTCCAGCTGTTAGGCCCTCCTGCCTGCCAAGGCTGCATCCTGCCAGGCTCCTAAACGAAGTCCCCTGCTTCTCCCCAGGTTTCCTCAGTGAGACTGACCGAGCAGACATGAAAATGGCTATTATCTCAGAGCACCTTGGCCTCAGCTGGGCAGGTGAGTCTAGGAATTTGGGGTGTTAAAACACTATCTTTTATGTACCTCATTTCTGGGTCTCTCTTATGCCCTCTGCTGTGGACTTGATCTGTGATGGTCTCCGTCAGTCTGTTGCTCCTGCAGCTCTGGGCCCCGAGGGAAGGAGGGCCCCTCTCTCCTTGATTCTGTTTGGTTTCCCCTTGTGGGAAGGAATCATCAACGTTTCAGGTTCTGGGAGACTTGGGCTTGATCTAGTCCCCCTCAGTTTGCAGATGGGAAGACTGAGCTCCATCCAAGTGGAGGGACAACGTTGTGTAGCGAGTTAGTGACCGAGCCCAGAGAAACCAACACACAGGACAGAACTACATTTCCTGACTTCCTGACTGCCTGCCCACTGCCCACTCTCCCACATACACCGTTTCCCCCAAACTCTGGCTTTGCGGATGGAGAGGAGGGGAGAACAGAGAAAGTCCAATTCTTTTCATTAAAAGCTCTGACTGTAGCTGAAGTCTACCAGAAGCCCCATCCACAATGGGGATAGATCTTCCGTGAACAGGAGCAGGTGGGCTAAATATAAAGTTAAAGACCAAGATGGTCACAATGGTTTTTATTCAACCACTTACCCAATAACATGGGAGAAAGATAGGACTTTCTACTCCCATGAAGAGTTACAGTCTCGGAAACAGACAGGGGCAGTTCTACCCTGTCCTTCATGGTGGCTATGCGTGGAAATCGACTTGATTTTTTAGGGGGGGTTTTGGACCCTACAACTCAATTCTCACTGCTTGCCCTCTTTTTTTGGTTAACCTTTTCAATGAGTGAAAGCCCAATTTAGACACACTTCAGAAACCTTGGCAATAGGTAAGATCATGATAAATGGAGAAAAGGTTGACGTTGTAAGGAATTTGTCTTACTTGGATCCCCAATCAGTGCTCATGGAAGCAGCCAATCAAGAGGAGGTCGAAAGCTGTATTGCATTAGGTGACTGTGCTGCACAAGACCTCCTAAGAGTGCTGAAGAGCAGAGCTGTCTCTCTGAGGTTGTACGCACGCCTGACCCCAGCCGTGGAGTTCTCCGTTGCCTCCTATGCAAGTTGGACAGTGAATAAAAGAGACCGAAGAAGAGTCGATGCGCTTGGCTTGTGGCGCTGGAGAAGAATCTTGAAAGTACCAAGGACTGCTAGAAGGACAGAGGGATCCGTCCTGGAAGAAGTGGGGCCAGAGTGCTCCTTAGAGGCAAGGACGGCAAGACTTCGTCTTACAGACTTTGGACATGTTGTCAGGAGCAGCGGGTCCCTGGAGAAGGAAGGCATGTTTGGTAAAGTGGAGGGGTGGTGAAAAAGACGAAGGCCCTCAGTGAGACGAATCTACACAGTGGCTGCAATAATGGTCTCGGGCAGGGGAACAATTGTGAGGACGGCACAGGACAGGACGGTGCAGCTTCTGTTGTGCTGGGGCCGCTGTGGGTCAGAGCTGACTCAATGGTCCCTAACAATAACAACAGCAAGAACTTGCTGAAAGGCAGCGTGACACATCCTCAGAAGTACAGGGATAGTTCCATCATTACACCATACCCATCGCAGCTTCTGAAGAGTCCCTGGGTGGTGAACTCCAGTGCTAATCAAAAGGTAGCTGGTTCAAGTCCACCCAAGGTGCCATGAAAAACCATTGAAACATGTGGAAAGCCCCTGCTCAGACATACGTGGGCCACTGGGAAACAGGATCCACCCAATGGCAACTGGTTACTGCCACCTTTTGGTGTGTGTGTATGTATGTGTGTGTGTGTGTGTGTGTGTGTGTGTGTTTTTCTTGGTCATTCACACAATTGTTTTCCTTCTCATCTTCCTCTTCCTTGAAATTAGACTCTGATGCTGTTTTTTACCTGTGAGATAACAATAAAAACTCCTAGGTTGGGCGGGAAAGCTAACCTTCCATTTAGATGGTACTTTGTGCTTTCATTTCCAATGTAAATAATGCCTTTCCCTGAAGAGTCATAACTATAGACACAGAGTTACCTAAGTGCGTTCCTCTCACCTTGGCGTCCTGGGGGGAAGGGAGGGGGCACTAGAGAGGTCATCAGCAGGTTCGTTTCACTGCACGCTCTCCTGTGCTTGCTCTGTGACCTTGGGGGAGTCGCTGGCTCATCCTCTAGAGAGCAAGGGTCTCCCTCCCTTCACTCATGCAACACGCTATTTATTGAGCAGCGCTGCCCACACCCCATTTTCTGGGGACGCAGAGATGGAAGTGACGGCATCTCACCTAGCATTTCTTCGTGAGGAATACCAAGTCCAAAGACCAACTACTGTTCTTGAACTCCCTGTACTGCCCCCACCCACACCCACCCCGCCCACCCCCAGGCTGTAACTCTCTGCTTGGAGCAGAGCTGGCTGGGATCTAGGGCTTGGCTCACGTCTGGTCTCGGTTCTTTGCCTGCAGAGTTGGCCCGGGAGCTGCAGTTCAGTGTGGAAGACATCAACAGGATCCGAGTGGAGAACCCCAACTCCTTGTTGGAGCAGAGCGCAGCCTTGTTGAACCTCTGGGTCATCCGTGAAGGACAAAATGCCAAGAGTCAGTACCTTTACGTTGAGCAAGGCGTTTCCTTCCCCCACAGCATGTGTCAGGATCTCCTCTTCCTTCAAAGCCAGCACTCATAATGGCCTTTTTAAAAAGTCAATGTCATATAGTTCCCTATCTAGCAGTTCAACAGTTCAACCACCTCAAGAAGAGTTGTGTAATCATCACCACTGTCAGTTTTAGAACATTTTCTTCATTTTTGGACTCATCCTCATTCGCTCACCCGTCTCCCAGCCTCCAATGACACATCCCAGGAGCCATTCATCGCGTCCCTGCCTCTCTAGATTTGCCTCTCCTGGTTCTCATACACAGAAGAGCATTTTTTCAAACTAACAACAATTACAATGTAAAACAGAAAAGAAAGCAGAAAACATTAAACACGAGAACAAATTTAAATGGATCATAGGGGAGATCAAATGATAGGGTGCTAAATTTTTACCTAATTGCATCTGCCACAATCCACTTTCCAATGTGGTCTGCATGCTAGCAAGTCTCATGTTGGCCTTTCGGGAATCAACCACTGGGTCCCTCTCACACACACACTCACACACACACACACACTTTTCTGGTGCTGTGGTAACAGAAATATCACTAGCATGCTTCAAAAAGGAGATATTCATTCACTCGGAAGCTAGAAGCCTACATTTAGCATGAGGTCCCAGGACAGAAGTCCTTTTTGGTCCAGTTCACCTTCTGGCAGTCAGTCAACAATCCTTGGTTCTTTAGAGACCAATCATCAGAGGGCATTTATCTCGTTATTATCTCCCCCCATTGTAGGTCTGTGACGCTCTTTATAGTACTCCGTGTGATTAGGGTAGGCCATACCATCCACTAACATGGCCTCGATCTAAAAGCCCAGCTATTCCGCAGTGGGATTACAGCCACAGGATTATGATCCCAGCATGTAGTTTTAGGGAACACGGTGCAGTCGGTCCATCCTCACACACACACTGTGTACCTAAACACACACTCTCAGGGTCACTGGGTCGTCTAGCCAGTCCTATCAAGTGAGCAGAGGATCTTGGCTTCCCTATTTCCCCCATTCTGGGAATAAGATAGAAATTGCACCGGGATCCCTAGATTACAGCATCTGTGCAGGCGGCTGTGACTCCCACGTTGGAAGTCTCCCTGTTGAATGTCTCAAGCAAATGCATCCTCCTCCAGGAGAGAGCATGGGTGAGCCCGGTCTATCTGAAGCAGTTCTTCCAGGGGCACCTTTTTCCCTCCAACCTGGAGGAAAGACTGGTCTCCCGCTGTCTTTTCAGCTCCTCTCAAACAAAATTCCTATGCCCCAAACAAACCAAAAACACTGCGAGAAAACAGAATGTTTACATCTGCATCCCACATCAGCTGGCAGAGACTAAACATTTCAAAAGGACACCATCCAATCCTCACGCCTCCTCTTAGATTGCAAAAACAAGTTGCCTGGGCTTTAAAATGGGCCATTATTGCTAAAATTAAATTCTCTAAAGTATCAGTTCCTGTCGATTCTGATTCTGACCAAAGAGGGGTGCCAGGCGTCCCCTCTCCCTTTCCCCCTTCCAAGAATACAAATCCTCTCCCTTCACACACCTTCCCTCCTGGCCTCATTCTCAGAGCCCAGGGCGACATTCCCTAGCTGCTGTCCCATAACGGGTGAGTTTTCGCTCCCTAAGTGCCTGTTCTGCCCTCCCCACTGACAGTGGAGAATCTCTACACTGCCCTGAGGAACATTGACCGCAGTGAGATCGTGAACATGTTGGAGGGCTCCGGCCGACAGAGCCGAAATCTGAAACCAGAGCGGAGGCACGCCACCGACCGGGACTACTCCTTGTCACCCTCTCAGATGAATGGTGAGTGTCTTCGGGATTGAGGTCGGGCCAGAACTGGACCCTCCCTTCCAGGAACCAGCACTCCAGCACTACCCCATGGGGGCAAAAGGGGGGTCGGTCAGCACCTCCCACCCAGGTGAGCAGAGGTGAGTGAAGGCAGGCAGGCTCTGTGGGAGTAGTGCCCTCTCCTCTGGACCTGTGTGGAGAGAGCCTCCATCAGCGGCCAAGCTGCGGTCCCAGCAGGACTCTGGAGGGCAGTGGGTTAGACTCTTGCCCCGACGCGGTTGCACACGCTCCGCATCGCACTGACCAAGGTGTGGGTCCTCTGGAGGGGTCACTGCGGTATGTAATGTCGCAGCTGAAACCACCCAGTGGCCGAGAACGGAAGGGCTTCTTCAAGGCCCGATGTCCATTAGCGAGATGGTTTCAAAGAAATCCTTTTGTGACCGCCTCTGTGAGGTTTAAAGGGTTACTTTTCTTTGAAGCCGGTGTCTCCCATTTCTCTCTCACCTCTCCTGGTTCAAAGAGAGGCGGCCCAGGGGAATCCCTGACTTCTGCCCCCTGCCCTTCACCGCTGCTGCTTCTCAGTCAGGACAGTTCACCTGGAAGCAACAGCAGAAGTTGCTAGTCGCATGAAGGAGCCAGGGCCCGAGAGCCCCGGGCTCTCTCCTCTCCACCTCCTTCCTCTCCTGGTCCCTTACACTCTTCACACTGGGGACAGACATAAACCGCAGGCCTCACGTCAACATCATGTCACTGTGGTGGGAAAAGCATGGCTCTGGGAGTCCGAAGACCTGGCTTCCAGCCCTTTCTCTGGCCAACTGCCTGTGTGGCTGTGTTATCTCCTCTCCCCCAAATTCGGTTGCATTCTCCAAGCCAAGCTCGCAGCCGTGGAGCCAGCGCTGACTCATAGCGACCCCCTGTAACTGTTGATGGGAGTAGAAAGCCCGTCTTTCTCCCGAGGGGCTAATAGTGGTTTCAAACTGCCGACCCTATGGATCGCAGCCCAGTGCCTAACCACTACACCAACAGGGCTCCTTTTCAGTTGCTTTAGATCCTCCAAATTCCTTCCAGAACTTGAGGAATTCTGTGAGACCTCACACTCTGGTGCCTAATATGTTGTCACAGACCGTTGCGCTGTGACGTTTATGCCCCCCAAGTCCTCAGTTTTAATGAACTTCACAGTGAACTGCACTGACCACCAGCAGTCTGGACGCAATGGCACTGGATGAGAAGTAGTTGGGGCTGGCCACTTTTGCTGAGAGGTTCTAGCTAGGGGGAGTCTGTGCCTGCCAAGCCCCTCACACTTCTTTATCTCCTGTGTCCTGTCTCTCCTGAAACATGCCACCCAGTGCCACCAGGTCCCGGGCTCATCTTATGTCCGTCATCTCCTGTCCCCTCTCTCTTCTGCCTCTGACCTCACCTTGACCTCTAGTTTGCTCATTCTCTTGCACCGCCTGTCTCCACTGTCTCCACCTGGCCAGATGTCATGAATGTCGGCCTCCAACAGATGCATGCCCTGAAAGACCCCCAGCCTTTCCCCTCCCCCTGTCTCATGGCTGTGTCTGTGGGCATCCGTGTACGTGCCTGTGTGTGCACAGGGGTCTGTTGTTGTGCCTCTTTGTCCCGGTTGTGCATCGTGTATTGCTCACTCTTCAACTCCACTCCTAAAAGGCTCCAGGACAGGGGTCCACACTCAGGGACCCTCCTCCAAGGGCACCCGGCTTCAACATGTCAGGGACTGCTAGGTTGTCCCCCTCCCTTTCACACCAGAGGAAAGGCAGGGCAGTTGAGGAGGGCTGCCAACTTTGGGAAACCCACATAATAAGACACATCTTCTCTACGTGATCACTGATCACTTGGTTGGGGGTTCTGTTTTTTCTTGCAATAAAGTATATTTAACATTTGCCGTTCCAACCATGTTAACCGGGGTTTAGTTGACGTTCTCAGGAAAGTCAAATCTGTTGTTGTTGTCGGTGCCCACTCACAGCTGCCCTCTGTACAACAGAGCGACACACCTCCAAGTCTGTTAAACACATCTGGTCAAATCAGCAAACGTTTACCAACCCTAAGATAAGTATCTACAGGACAAGGTGCCATTGCAGTCCCTTGAGTATAAACAAGGTAGTTAGGGACCTCAGGATCTAGGAAAGTCTTTAATTGGGCCTAGGACTCACAGCTCCCAGCAGACCTACGGACTGCAGTGCTTCAATGGGTTATCAGTACCTCTGTGGGGCTGTGTCCCTGACCGCTTCAGGACAGTGCGAGCAGCTCTGGGTTCCGGTGGGCCAGTTCATTGGGCAAATCACTGTTCTAAGCACAGGATAGCAGTCCGTTCTCACACAGTTAAAAAAAAACAACTGTACCTTGTGAACATTCGGTTAGAAGAGCCAGACAATCGCATGGGATGTTGGTGAATTAGATAGTGAGCTATCAGGTGAGAGGAAGCGTGGAGAAAGAGAAATCCAGGTAAGAGGGATCGGGGTGGGTGAAAATCGCATCTGGTGGCAACGGGCAGCATTTGAGCAAAGACTTGAAGAGTGTTCTGGACGCAGCACAGCGAGCGCAGTGGCCCCAAGACAGGGGGCCTGGTTAGCCTGCTCACAGGAGAGGGAGTGGGAGGGTTTTGAGCAAAGGGGTGCCATGCTGTAGCTTAAACTTCCAAAGGGTTTATCTCCCTGCTGGGTGCCGCCACAAACTGAACACATCCAGGATTCCTGGCTTCTCTGTCCGACCTCATCAGCACCTTGAGTCCCCATTTCAATCCAAGGATCCCAGCAGAGAGGCTCCCACCCACAACCCAATCCCAGTGCTCATGAGTAGGTGCCCGGCAAACCACTCTGCCTTTGTGGACACCGAACCTGTCCGCTCTGTGTCTTCATGCCTTCTTTCCTGTCCCAGGAAGATCATCCCACACCTGCGTAGCCTTCTGCTCTGGAAGGATCGGCGCCAGCAGCTTCCTGCAGTGTGCCTGCCTTTCTCCTGGGCAAAGTCATGTGATGACGTGTCCAGGTGCCAGCCTAGCGCATCTAGATGGAGGGCCGTAGTTATCACCTGCGCTCCGCTGTGCTGGACCGCATTCCTCTGCTGGCCAGAGTCCTGTGCACGCAGCCACAAGGCCTGTGGACAGTCATTTGTTGCTTGAGCTTCCTGGGAGTCTGAGAAAAGCAGGGGGAAGTCAGGGCCTAGAAGCCTTAGGTCTGTTTTCCTTCCCTGGTGGCTCCTGTGTTGGCCAGAGAAGATGGGGATTTCAGTCAAAAAGCTAGTTTGCTTCTCCTGCGTGGGAGGAAACTCCCTGAGGCCCTTGTAGTAAACATGAGGGATCGGGGTGCCTGAAAAGCAACAGAAATAGCATGTACCTGAAAATAGAACAGATTTCCCTCATTAAAGATAGACATCGCATATCCACGTTTATCAGCTCCATGTGGTTTGAGAATGGAATTGGACACGTATGAACATCTGTGTGGACATAGAATGTGTTTTCTTTATACCAACTCTCCCTGCACAAAACCAGTCAGTGTGGCTCCTGTCTGAGGTCAGGTTGTCTATCCACCTCTTGTCCAGCTGACTACTGACATTAAACAAAAAGGACCACGGCACGTCGGAAGTGCCCGAGAATCAGGGCGGTAACCTGAGGGGAGCAGAGACCTGGGGAGGGGATGGCTCCTTCCACCGCACTCTTCCCCACAGCAATATGTACGGTGGTCTTTTTCCTGGGGTCCCCAAATGCAGCTCCAGGAGAGACTGAGAGATGGGCTGGTGACCCAGATGTGGCAGGACCTCATGGGACTAACAGATGGGACCCTTAGGAAATCCCGCCTTCTGTCATTTACTCTGGTCTGGCCCTGTGAGGGGTGTTCCTCACAAGGTTGTGTGATTCCATTGATCCAATGGAATGGGAGCCCCCACTGACAGCCCAGCCTCAAGGGGAGGGTTGGGCGGGTCCTCTGGAAACTTAGAGGGCGCATGCTTGCCTGCCTTCAAAGCCTTGTCGCTTGGGTAAGGGCTCCACGGTGAAGATAAACAGGGACGTCCTGGCAGAGGGTGCCTGTGAATGCACCTCTCGTCCTCTGGGTCCACAGAACTCCCGGCTCCTAGTTCTCGTCAAGTCCCGCTGACATTCCCCAGAGGGACAAAGGTTTCACCCCCCTGGACAGAGGAACCACTTAAGATGTAGGCAAGCCTTCCACTTCTGCCAAGACACAGGTCGCAGGGACTGGGTATATCCTCCCGCTTGAAAGGACAAAAAAAAAAAAAAGAAGCAAAATAGATGAAACAACGGCGTGAACACGTTGGACAGCAGAGAACACAAACGCAGGATTCATAGGAATGCGACGAGCCCTGCGGCTGCCCAGTGTCCCGCCTCGAGTGAGTTGCTAGACTGTGGCCGAGGGAAAGGGACCCCAGGGAGACTCTGAACTGAGTGAAGCCGCTGAGAGTCCAGCCTGACCAAGGTGCCTAGCGTTCTGCAGACAGGGGACCCGAGAGAACACTGCACAAAAAGAGAAGGTCCCAAATACGCAGAGTGCCTCGCTCAGTCACTCACCTGAGTACTAATCAGCTATTTCCAACGGCCAGACTGATCATCCACAGGTTGCTTGGGCACACGGGTTCTTGCCTCAGAAACGGGGCATAATTAGCCCTCGGCTGAGTGCTGCTCCAGGCCTGACGAAGAAATCTTGAAAGCAAAACTCGAAAGCAGCCGCTTGATTCCAAGTCATTAACTGCGTACTAGCGTCAACCTCAACCACCAGGTGTACCAAGAGGCAGGAAACCCGACCAGGGTGAGAAGAAGGATCAGTGGATTGAAATGGATCAAGACCAGTGCTCACATCGGTGTTAGAATTAGCAGACCAGGGTGGAAAATTTCGATAACTTCATTTCAGATGTTCAAAAGTTATAGTGGACACGGGGAAGATATTTCGTAAAGACTCAAATTAATATTTCAGAGGTGAAAGCTCTGATGTGTGAATAAAGCATCCCTGGTTGAAGTGAGACCATGCAAAAGAAGACTGGGGACA